ATGGCTACCAAATTGATTCCAAGCCACAACAACTCTACAGCACAGAGAATGGTCCCTCCAGAATAGTTTCCAGGTAAATCTCTATGGAAGTACATGGCCACACCTTTCTTCTGTGGAGTGGCTAGTGGGTCTGAACCACTGACCTTCTGGTTAACAACCAATGGCTTTACTGAAAGATTCTGACAAGGCTGACTTAACTCTGTAAGCTCACATATATAAAAAACCATGAAAAATATGAGTCATATGAGATTCATAAATTCTACAACAACACAACTAAGAAAGTGGAGGAAACTAACAAGTGAAATTGAAAATAAAAAGGAAGTATTATGAAATAGCTAGGGGTAAGTTTAAGAACTTTAAAAAGACCCCAACAAGTGAAAATATTATTAACTCAAAATAGTAGAGAGTTTGAGATTAATCAATACTGTTTCCCATTTGTATAGTACTCTACTTTCATATCTGATACAATTATTAGGGAAAAATAAAATTGTCATTTGTTAGTCACAATGGTCATGTATTGGCAATTTTCTAAGGACAACTCGACATTCCATTTGAGCAATTACTGGTTATCCATGGAAAACAGGAATATATGGAAGTTTCTCGTCTCTTGTGATTAACGTTTTCAAGAACAATTAACTCCCTCTTGGTAAAACCTAGCTTTCTAACTTGGTGACACAATGATCTTGGCTGAAAGGGTCAAAGGAATGTAATTTTTTAGGTTCTTATTCTGACCAAAATGCCAATTAATACCTGAAGAGTTAAACATGTTAAATCACTTTAATCCTTAAGGTTTTTGTGGTGGTTTTTTTTTTTTTTTCTTTTTCCCTAGTGTTTTCTGTTGTGATTTTTTTTTTTGTTTTGTTTTGTTTTTAAAAGCTATACTAAGCTATCTGGGATATCTTTCAGTTCTAAAATTGGTATGATTTTAAATAAAAAAAACACAAATCATTTTTAAAAATTAGTTATTTGATGTTAAAATTCAAAAGCAGAACATGAAAATCTCAGTTCTAAGTGGCTTGTTTTAATTTTTTTTAAGAAAATTTAATCCTTCAAGTTTTATACTTGTTCTAAGAAGTTAACTACAAGTTAACCACATGTGTGTATGTGTATCTCAATTTCTACATACTCGGAATGTAATGTATATATTAAACATACTTTGGCTATTAAGGGTTAAAGTCCAAATTCGCTGGCAAATTGAGAGGTCTGTGTAAAATTAAGACTTAAGTTTACTTATATCAAAGTCTAACTTGGTAGGCAAATTGAGAGAAATCTATGTTAGTATCAAAACAAAAAAGTTTACCAAGTATCACATATACAAACTATTTTCTGGAAATGGCAAACATATATACACCATTTAAAGTATACATATTAGTACACTTTTGTATGTTATCTTACAATTAAATCAGTTTACAATTTCTATCAATTACAATAGCATTAGAACAGTTCTTACTCTATAACCATTGCCCATATTCACTGACACAGATGTCTTAGAACTTCTTGATACAATGCTTAGAATTCCTAAATAGTAACTTTCTAGAATATAGTTCCCATAGTCTAAAACATTTAAAGAGTTTCCATAATGTAATACAAATAATTTATTACACTTTCCAAAAGTGTAATAAAGTGAGCTTTAGCAATGTGAACACAGAAAAATCTATTCAAAGAAATGTCATTATCTATACCACCTTACATTTTCATGCTACAACCAATTTATAAAATAAAAAGACAGATTTTAAAGTATTGTCAAATGTCTTGCAAAGATTACTAAGTGCCACTAAGTCAATGCTAAAGCAACAAATAATGGTGATGGTTTTCCTGTTCATGTATTTTTTTCAAAAAATAAATTTACTCCTAAAGGCAAGTCAACTTTAATAACATTCAATGGAAGCAATATAGTTCTGAGGACATAATAGATAGCATATGCATTTATCTGCAGTGACTATTTAAATGAATGGTCATTTCACACTGAAAGGGCCAATAAAATTTGGTAAAGAAATGAATGGTACTGCCATTTCCTTCATCCTACGTAAAAAATACTGTTTAAAAAAATTATTCCGTTTGTTCGATAAGCTTCTGTTTAAATTAAAAAATAACCCAAACTTGACACTCATACTTAGCACGCATTTTAAGATTCCCTAAACGAGTCTTATGCTTACGTAAGAATTTTATTAAAAAATACAGATTGATTCGACAATTATCTGATGTGGATAGGCAAATTCTCAACAGAGGGAGAACTAGACTGAATTGGGGACTGAATTGGTTCAAAGTCCTGATTACCAGTGTTACTAGTATTTAGGCATATTTAGGTGTTATTAGAACTCCAGGTATGACCAGGGTCTTTTAATAAAAGTAAATCTTTACTATTTCACACTTAGTTCCCTATGTCCCACAGAAAGGCATTTTGTTCAAGTTTCAGGATTCTTTCAGCCACCAGAGGTGTGAGCTGCACCTTCTGTGATGAAGCATCAGAAAGCAAGCTGGCTCACACAGTTAAGTGTTCTGCTGAAGTAAAAGGAAGCAATCTCCATAATTACTCTACATGCTTGTAAGATTTAATTTTCCAACGTGGCCACAGCAAGTTTACTGAAAATCATGCTCACCAAAACAAGTTTGTGCATATACTCTTTTCTGATTAAGACTGTAATTGATAAATTAATAAGGCCTATATCCGAACAGAACCAAATTCAAATTAAATGACTGCCAAATGCTTTGAGGAAGGAGAGGGAGGATAATTAAAGTCGGTTAAACATGATTAGAAAACGACTGTAAATAGGATATAAGACCCCCAAGTGTAACATGCATTATACACAGTCTTGCCGCGTTTACATCATCATGTAAACCCAGATCACAACGTCTTACCTTCAAAACAGGTTCATTAAATAACTAGGAGAGTGCACAGATAGCTCGTATCATGTAAGCTACTGCGAAATGCAGGACACATCCGCTGACACTCTCAGCCCTCACTCCCTGCCCTGCTCCGCCTGGATCTCTGCTGGGCTCACCCGCTTTCCATTCCATCCACTTACCAAGAAGCACAGCTGTGGCCAGTTGTGGATAAAATATCTATAGGTATAAATGGAGTAGGGTTCAGACAGATCTTTGGTGATCAGTCTCATGATATCAGGCATTTGGAGCTCGGATTCGTATCGGACATAGCGTATCGTCCGATCCTCCCCAGGCTCAACTTCCCTGCCCGAGGGGCTCCTTAAGCTGCAGCTGGCAGGCAGGGTCGAAGACAGCAGCTGCACCTGCTCGTCTTCCTCTTCCTCCGGCTCGGCGCCCTCGGCCAGTCCATTGCGGGCCGCCGCGGGACCGCTCGCCGTCGCTGCCTCTGCCGGGCTGGGGAGCGCAGTTCTACCATTATTGGGGAGGGAGTGAGGGGGGCTCTCGGCCGAGTGGAGCCCGGCTCCTTTTGTTGCAGTCGCTCTGGGGTCCCCGTCGGGGGTGATCGTAGTCGCCGCCGCCTCGGCCACGCTCAGAACCTTGCTCTTGAGGGAGGCGGCCGACCGATGGTGCCGCAGTTCGGGGCTGATCAATCCATTGAGCTGCTGCTGCTCCTGGGGCGGCTGAGGGCAGCGACGGCACGGATGTCCCTTGGCCGCCGCCGCCTCGCCGCCCGCCGGTCTCCTGCCGCCGCCGCCTTCGTGCTCCTCGTCGTCCTCCTCGTCCTCGCTACAGCAGGCGGGGGCGGCCCCCACGGGGAAGGGACAGCGGAGCTCTGCCACTGCCGGGGCCGGAGGTGCTGGCGGTGGGAGGAGGCTGCTAGGCCCAGGCGGTACCTCCGCCATCCTAGAGGCGACACAGACCGAGAGGGGAGGCCATGAGACCCGGCCGACGAGCGCGCAGCAGAGGGGGCGGCGGGTGGGGGGCGACGGGGATGGGGGGAACAAAGGCAGAAACCGTCCCTCGCGGAGCTGCCCCCCTAATTCCGCGCCCCCCCCACTCGCTCTTCAGCGCCGCCCAGCTGCTCAGCGAGCCATAGTCCCCCGTCCGCCTGGGCCCATCCGCCAAGCCCTGTTACCCGTGGCTCCCCTAGTACCTCCCGCGCAGCTCACCCCGCACCGGTCCCAGCCGCCACCTCTCCGCTTCCTCCTCGGCCGCCGCCGCCGCCGGCTCCTTCACCACCGCGGCCGCCTCCAAAGCCGCCAAGGCTCACACTCAGTCGCCGCCGCCGTAAAGCGCCCCAGCTGTTACCCCGGGTAAAGTTTCCTGGGCCTGGCTTTACGACACTTCCCTGCCTGCCGGCTGTCGGGGCTGAGGGAAAGGGGGCGTGGAGAGAGGTGACCTGCGGAGGGGCGGGGACGTAGGTGTCTTCCATAGGCTCCGGGGGAGACCGCGTGCTAGTGGGTGGGGTTGCAAGGCTGGGAAGTTTCTAGGGCCTTTGGAGTCACCGGCTCCCCTATTCCTGTCCTAGGCTGTGGGGTTACCCCCACCCCCCGCCCTCCTAGTTCGCCGCACGGGCCTGGAGACAGATGGGCTGGACGGGCGGGCGCTCCATGCCTGCCACTCCCGCGAAGCTGTCGATTTCAACTCTTATAAAGCTTGCTTCCCGAGAAGGCTGAGAGGAACCGGGAGTTTGCCTTGATCTCTTTAAAATTGGATCAAAGCAGGAAAATCAAGTCCATAAAGGAGAGGAACTTAAGAGCTTTGACCTGTGTAGATAGGGGGACTCCTATAGAAACCTGGTTGTTAACTACGTGACTCTTTGACACAGTGTGCCCCGATCTGAAGCGAGAGAAAGTAGGTAGGTAGGTACTCTTCCTGTTCCCCTCCCGACTCCAAGAAAATTGGAGGCAAATGTGACTTGCTGCAAGCACGCTTGAGGGGAGATGAGAGAAGGTAGAAGAAAGTGACGGTAGCTAAAAAGCACATTCATAAACTTGTCACAATCGTGAAGGACTGAGAAGCGCCCTTTCCCCCACGTTATCTGTTCGGCGGATGCAGAAGCCTCTCTCCTCTCCTGCATACCCAGGGCGCGCAGGGCGCTATCCAATAATGGTGATTTTTCAAGCAGGTCTGAGCCGCGGGGCGGACAGGTAATGTAACTTTCAAATTAGGTTTTTTGTGGAAAATTAATTTTAGAACTGATCATGTGTGCAGCAGAATGGACGTTTTCAGGGATATAATTCTTTAATTGGTTATGTTTGGGTTTTTGTGCCAAAATCTAAACTTTGCTCGAAAAGTGTAGGGGGTGGGGAAGGAGGAATAGAACACAATGTAACATCGCTTTACATTTACATTGCTAAAGCCCTTGTCACTAAACCCTATTGAAGGAGATTCTATCACCTTCTCTCTAAAAAGACAACCTAAAATGATTTTTAAAATCAGAATAATAAACATTTATTACTTTAGGCCAGGCTATCTTCGGAGAGTCTTAGAGTTATTTATTTAATCCATTTCTAGGCTTTTCAAGCTATAGAAATACTGATATTTGTGCATAAATAAGCATGTAGGAACTTGGTTTTGTCAGCCCAGTCTGTAATGAAAAATAATACCAAATCTTATCAATACAGGAATGCTTCTCTGATGGCTTAGTGTTAAGGAAGGAGTTGAGCCGTCAACCCAAAGACACACAGTTCTAATCCACCAGCTACCCCATTGAAGGAAGATGGGCAACCTCTTCCTGTATAATTTACTGCCTCTGAAAACCTGCCCGAGGGTCAGCTAAGAGTCAGTTCTGAAGCAACAATACACAGCAACATAAAAACTATAGAATATTGCCTTTTTAATTTTACAAAAGGGTTTTTTTTAAAGAATTTTAATGAGCATTTACAGAGATTTTGGATTTCCATTCATTCATTGCTATACTTCTCTCCCCGCCCATTCCTGCCCCCCCCCCCCCAGTTCTCTCCTCTCTTTCAAAAGTAAAAGAAACACTCCTTCCCTGGTACACAATCCCCCTGCACCCCTCCCACCGCCCCAAGTACATTCCACTTTGCAACCTTAATTGTGGACTCCTGTGATAACCATAAGACCCTATCATACATCACTTTTAAATTATTCACTCCCTCATCTGTTTCAGTTCAGTATACACAGTTTATCCAGTTTTTCTCAGTCTTACCCCAACCCTGATATCAGCTCCATTTTACAACAGTGGCACCATGCAATATTTGTCCTTACAAAAGGGTTTTTTTAACTCATGTTTTTCATTAATTCATAATCACTTGTCCCCTGGTTTGTTGAAGCAATAGGTCAGACAGCACTTGCCACAGTAGTGTCTATCAAAGTGGCTGGCCATAAAAACTCCAGCACCTCGTTCATCTGAAGGACACTAATTTTGCCATTCTCATCCACCTTGTAGTATTTCAGAACAGCCAGCTTAACCTTCCTTCTCTTATGCTTATTCTGCATGTGGAAATAAGACTACTTCTTCCTTTTCTTAGCACCACCACGAAGTCTCAATACAAGGTAAAGAGTGCATTCCTTTCCGATGTAGTCAGACAGGGTCCGCCCATCTTCCAGCTACTTTACAGCGAAGATGAGTCTTTGCTGATTAGGAGGAATTCCTTCCTTATCCTGGATCTTGGCCTTGACATTCTTGATTCGAGAGTTCAACCTGGGGCATGATGGTCTTCCGCATGAGGGTTTTTAGGAAAATCTGCATCTTGGTGGTGGTCCCACAGCCGATGGTGTATCGGAAAGGCTAATTTTACTAAAGTTTTTTTACATTGAAGTAGATAAATATTGATACTCTTCCAATTACTATAACAGCATTGCCATTTACACCCAAAACCTGCTTCCTTAAATCAACCACTTCTTAAACTCACTTAAATTCCTGTGGGTCAGGAATTCTGGTAAGGCATCACAGGGATGAGTTTTCTCTGCTTCATTATGTGTAGAACTTGATCTGGAAAATGGAAAGCCTGAGAGGGCTGAAATCATCTACAATGTTTCACTCACATGTTGTTGCTTGAGAGGAGTTCTAGTAACATGCTCAGGTGGTGTGGTGTACAGCTAACCCAAAATTCTAATCCACCAGCCTTTCCAAGGGAGAAAGTTGATAATCTCTGGTGATAGTTACAGCCTGTAAAAACCTGCTGAAGGGTCAGCTGTGAGTCAGTTAGATTCTTTGACAATGAAATTGAGGTGTGAGTTTGTGTTGTTGGTGGCGGTGGTGGTTGATGCTAGCTGAAATCTTGGGGCCTCACTCAAGTCTATACCATGCAGTTTACTCTACTTGGTTTCTTTGATTTGGGATTTCTCCCAGAATGTGGCTCGATTCCAAGTGTGAGAATCCAGAGGGACAGTTAGGAAGAATTTAGAACTCATGCAATGTCTCTTTTGTTGCAATCTGTTTATTTCATTCATCATTTTCATTGCTGTCAGTTCTGAAATACCTCAAAACTGATGTGCCGGCCAGTATTCTAAGCTGTAAAGTGCATGGGAGGAGATTGCCCATCTTTCTCCTACAGAGCCCGTGGATTCGAACTACCAGAGAGGTGCCACCTTTGAGTTCATGCAGCTCCTTACCCACTAGACACCAGAGTTGCAGCTGAAGTCCCGTAGATAAAGAGACAGCCATGATTTTGTAGGTCATAAAAGTCTCACCCAAGTTTAAGGAAGGGAGCTTTGGTGATAATTGTGCTGCCAATCCAAAAACCAGTGATTTGAAACCCACTAGATGCTTCACAGGAGAAATATGAGTAATCTCCTACCATGTGATTTACTGCCTCTGAAAACCCAGAGGGTCAGCTATGAGAGTACATAATAACAACATCAATGTTTAAGGGAAGAGGAAATAGATCCTTCCTCTTGATGGGGTGTGGCAAAGTTCTCAAAAAAGCATATGCTGCTGCTGTTAAGTGCTGTCAAATCAGAACTGACTCATAGTTGACCCTCCGGTAGTTCCTCCACTCCCTTGCCTCTCACCAGCTATAAATTGCACAGGAGGAGATTGCTTTCTCCCTCAGAGCAGCTGGTAGATTTGAACTTTTTCTTTGGGTTAGCAGCACAGCTTCTTACCACTAGACCACTAGAGTTTCCTCAAAACGAGCAAACAAAATGTGGGTGCAGAAAATGTTGCGGTGGCTGCTTCTGGAAAATTATCTTAGCCACAGTTACTTAGACGGGGATGACATTGAGGGAAGGGGACACACTGTGGCTGTGTATTCCGACTCACAAGGGCCTGCTAAACACCTTGCTGTGTCAGCTAATGGACCCTGACTCAGCCACCCTGTAGGACAGTAGTCTGTTTCACAGGGTTTCCTACACTGCATTCTTGCCCAAGCAGATAACTGTATGATCCTATTAATTCCTTTGTATGTTTGTTTGATTGATTTTGTTTTGTCTTGGCCACAGAACAAAACCACATTTCCAAATATATATGCTATTCAGATTGTTGCAAAGTATAACCTAGAGGCTCAAATCGTGGAGGAAAAACAAGTCAAACTGACTCCACACAATTTCCTTATTGATCACCATGGTCTAATCCCATTTTACGTGGGGTTTCTATGAATACAGAGTGACTTGATGGCACCTAAGAACAAGAACTTTATATCAGAATATTGAAATATCATTAATGGCCTGTTAATTTTGAAAGTATCTCTAGAAAAATCTAATATTTCTGGACTTTTTTTTAAATTTCTCATGTTGTTTGCCTTTGAGTTGAAACCAACCCATAACTGACCCTCCAGCAGGTTTTCAGAGTCAGTAAATCGTATCAGAGTACATTGCTCATTCTTCTTCTATGGAGCAGTTGGTGGATTTGAATCCTGTGCCTTTGGTATTGCAGTGCAACTTCTTATCACTAGGCCGTTATAACTCTCTAGGAGAAGCTCTGTTAGGAAGGTCTATTTCTTGGAACAAGACATCATACTTGGAAAAGTGGAGGGTCAATGAAAGTAAAACCTTCAATGAGATGGATTGTTACACTGATTGCAGGATTGGTCTTGTATGTCAGAGATGATGAAGATGGCATAGAATAAGACAGGGTTCAGATCTGTTGTTTGTAAGGTTGCTTTGAGTCAGACTCAACACCCAAGAAAAAACATCAACATGTTGACATGGTATTTCACGTTAATTTTGGACATAGAAATGAGATGACCTCTTTCTAATGCTTTTGACATCTTATTATGTGATGCCTACGGGTATCTGGTGGCAATTGGCAAGGACCTGTGTTCTCATGCATAAAGTCTCTCACTTCAAATCCACCAGCTT